TGAATAATTTTTCTTTGATGATACATCTATGTATGCGAAATGGGATCCCTATCTTTCGACTTGAGAAAAACGTTAGCAAAACCCACTCAAACCCATCCATTCGTCGTGCAAATGACGTTAGTGCCAAATCAGGTTTTGCACGTGCAGTCGATCACGGGATCTTCCCATCGAAGTTTTCTTCATATGCACGTGTTTGCATTGGCCTCAAGAATTGAAAAAACACTTTTAAACCACAGTTCTAACGGTACTTGAAATGCCACGATTGTCACATGTGCAACGTGAACGTGCCGTTGGTATGTTGCAAGCGGGAAGATCAGTTATTGACGTCGCAAGAGCAATGGGATGAAGCCGTCGTACTGTGTATGACTTGCGAGGTCGTCTACAACAAACTGGCACCACTTCTGATCGCCCAAGGTCGGGTCGTCCACGTGTGACGTCACGAGCAGAAGACCGTCAAATCGTCCTACGTCACCTACGTGACAGATTTCTGCCGGCTACACGAACCAGGGCTGAGATGTTTAGAGGTCGACTGTCCTCACAGACCATTCGAAATCGGTTCGGACTGCCAATCTCCCTTCTCGACGTCCATCAACGTCAACGTCTGCTGTGGGCCCAACGTCACCTCCGATGGAGCCAGAGAGACTGGAATCGAGTCGTCTTTAGCGATGAATCCAGGTTTACCCTCAGATTCGCGGACGGCAGGCATAGAGTCTGGAGACGACGTCGTGAACGGTATGCCCAATGTTGTGTACAGGAGGTCGACAGATTCGGGGGCGGAAGTTGCATGGTGTGGGGTGCTTTCTGTGGGAACAACCGTTCCCGACTTCTGGTTATCCGTGGAAACCTCACAGCTGCTGCTTACCACGACCAGGTGCTCACCCCTAAACTTGTTCCTTTCATGGCGGCTCATGGCCGAGGTCTACAGTTCCAGCATGATAATGCTCGGCCGCATACCGCGATGCTGACACGAAATTTCCTTCAAAACGCTGGAATCAACGTCATGGACTGGCCATCCAGGTCCCTTGACCTTAATCCAATAGAGCACGTTTGGGATGCACGTGGGAGAAGGCTTTGTGGTCTTAGGAACCAACCTCAGACTTTGCAGGAACTTGGCGCTGCCTTGCAAGAGCAATGGCGCAGAATCCCCAACCACGTGTTCACAAGCATCAGGCAGTCGTTGAGGAGACGGTGTTTGGCAGTGGTGAATGCGCGGGGCGGCCATACACGATATTGAACTGAGAAATTTCGCATTTTTATTCTTGTGACTTGACATTCTGTATACCTATATTTTGGAACGGCGGTGTAGCCTAATGGAACTGATTATGGCACTGTCAGTGTATCGAGTACATCACACAGATCTCAGCAATGAAATAATAACAATTTAACCATCTTACCATCTCTTGTTCTTTTATAGAGCCCTGAAGAAAGAATGTGAAGTTTCTTTTTTGATTATAGTTCCCGTTATAACTGAATTATTTGATATCATTGGTCCGACTGTTAACATCATGCATGGACGGAATAGTCACATTATTTATCAGCCTATCAATGTCATTGATGGTTGGGATAATAACATCAAGGATAATAAAATATCAACATCTTTAATGAGAGGTATAATGACATGAATGATTAGACCATCAGCAGTAATGGTTGGAGATAGATTAACACCATTGATCAGATTGATAGCGTCATTGATAGGAGATATAATATTAGGATTTGTCAGACCATTAACATCATTGAAGGGAGATAAAACAATATCATTTTTCAGACCATTAACATCATTGTTGGAGATATAACAATATCATTTTTCAGACCATGGATATCATTGATGGGAGATATAACAATATCATTTTCCACACCATTAACATCATTGATGGGAGATATAACAATATCATTTCTCAGACCATTAAGATCATTGATAGGAGATATAACAATATCATTTTCCAGACCATTAACATCATTGATGGGAGATATAACAATATCATTTTTCAGACCATTAACATCATTGATGGGAGATATAACAATATCATTTTTCAGACCATTAACAATATCATCATTTAAGGGAGATATAACAATATCATTTTTCAGACCACTAACATCATTGATGGGAGATATAGCAATATCATTTTTCAGACCATTAACATCATTGATAGGAGATATAACAATATCATTTTTCAGACCATTAACATCACTGAAGGGAGATATAACAATATCATTTTTCAGTCTATTAACGTCATTGATGTGAGATATAGCAATATCATTTATCAGACCGTGAACATCATTGATGGGAGATATAACAATATCATTTATCATACCATTAACATCATTGACGGGAGATATAACAATATCATTTTTCAGACCTTTTACATCATTGATAGGAGATATAACAATATCATTTTTCAGTCTATTAACATCATTGATGGGAGATATAGCAGTATCATTTTTCAGACAATTACCATCATTGATAGGAGATATAACGATATCATTTTTCAGACTATTAACATCATTGATGGAGATATAACAATATCATTTTTCCGACCATCAACATCATTGATGGGAGATATAACAATATCATTTTTCAGACCATCAACATCATTGTATGGAGATATAACAATATCATTTTTTTCAGACCATCGACATCATTGACGGGAGATATACCAATATCATTTTTTAGACAAATAACATCATTGATGGGAGATATAACAATATCATTTCTCAGACCATTAACATCATTGATAGGAGATATAACAATATCATTTTCCACACCATTAACATCATTGATGGGAGATATAACAATATCATTTTTCAGACCATTAACATCATTGATGGGAGATATAGCAATATCATTTATCAGACCGTGAACATCATTGATGGGAGATATAACAATATCATTTATCAGACCATTAACATCATTGATGGGAGATATAACAATATCATTTTTCAGACCATTAACATCATTGATGGAGATATAACAATATCATTTATCAGACCATTAACATCATTGATGGGAGATATAACAATATCATTTATCAGACCATTAACATCATTGATGTGAGATATAACAATATCATTTTTCAGACCGTTAATATCATTGATGGGGGATATAACAATATCAGTTTTCAGACCATCAACATCATTGATAGGAGATATAACGATATCATTTTTCAGACCATTAACATCATTGATGGGAGATATAACAACATCATTTATCAGACCATTAAGATCATTGATAGGAGATATAACAATATCATTTTCCGCACCATTAACATCATTGATAGGAGATATAACAATATCATTTTTCAGACCATTAACATCATTGATGGGAGATATAGCAATATCATTTATCAGACCATTAACATCATTGATGGGAGATATAACAATATCATTTTTCAGACCATTAACATCATTGATGGGAGATATAACAATATCATTTTTCAGACCATTAACATCATTGATGGGAGATATAACAATATCATTTTTCAGACCATTAGCATCATTGATGGGAGATATAACAATATCATTTTTCAGTCTATTAACGTCATTGATGGGAGATATAACAATATCATTTATCAGAAAATTAACATCATTGATGGTGATATAATTTCACTGATATCAATATCAAGATAATCGACGTGAGGAGGCCACTAGATGATAATTATCAGACTATAAAAGTTATAATATCCAACTGCTGTCGACATTCATCGAGTATTTAACTTCACTGAACAGACTATAGCTGTCAGCGTTATTAATCGCACTGCTATCGCAATGATAAACCCACTAATATCACTGATCAGACTGTTCACAGCAATGATCCCATTACGAGAGCCTATGACCAGGCTCCAGCTTTCAACGTAAATGAATCCACGTTTAACATCACTTGTGAGATGTATATCATCATTGTAAAAACATTAACATCACTGATCAGACTTTTCACCCCTGGGGTTTGGTGCTGCGAAGGCAATGGTCATATTTATGGATTCGATACACGCCCATTGGGGAACTGACAGCTGAGGAAACCATACTTGTTTTTAAAGAACAACGGCTGTGCGGTCAGATGTGTTAGCATCGTTAATTCGGATGTTAACATTCATTAAACACGGTTTGCTGAATTTTCGACTCTAAACATTTTCCAGTTAGTGTTGGGTTGCATTCCATTGCAAATGGAATTATTGGCCCAGTGCATCGGATATGAAAAATGTCATTCGACGGCCGAGCAAATTTATCATAGCAAAAAATGAGAATTTAACCACACTTTGTCTACAATGGAGTTCTTACCATAGCAATATGTTGCTAGCTCGATAAAAAGATATTTTGGATAAATACGGTAATCAGGTTGGATGGTGGCTAGTTGAGATGATAAAATACATTGCAATTCATTTTTAACGCTGACACTCGCTCTCTCACGCCTGATGTTATCGAACAAAGAATGAGTGACTTGGAGTTACGTATGGGGAGAGTGAATCAATTGCAGAGCCCGAGATTCGCAAATGATTTCACTTTATGGTGAGGACCTGTCACCAAGTGATGTTAACAGTCTGCTGGTAGCGATGTCTTGAAACGTCAGAAGGTATTGGCTCTTTAAACATAACTTACATAAATCACTCCTGATTCGACATGAGTTGTGTAATTAATTGTGCCCCTTTGGACAGGGTACGGTTTACAACGACAGAGCATGACATTAAATATTAGCGAGTGATTCACAGATTTGCCTCCTGGAGAAATCGAAGAGCAAAGTCTCCTAGCTTCGAAGCAGACGATGCTCATTGCCCAAACCCCTAAATGAATGATCCTCTTGGGTCGAAAGCTTAACTTCCGCTTTTCGGCAATGTTAATGCTTAATTTAACAGATATTAGCTTAGGGCTGCTTCGAAAGTGATATAACGCACAGCCGATGCCGTATATTATAAGAAAATGCCTTTAATGTTTTACGACAGCGATGTAAAAAGTTTGGCTTGCGCTCTTAACAGCAGGTCCATGCATAGTTACAGCAACTACGATGAAAAGCAAGCATATGTCTGCTTCTTTCATGTTACGACTAGGACCTGGGACGGCGCGTCCGATAGCTGGTCTTGTTCAGGACACTAAACACTACAATGAATACCACTTACTGAGTGTTTGCCGATTGAATCTCACAGCGGTACAGCATTCGTCTGTCTTATTGTTTATTCAATAGGGAGTAAGACTTTGAAGCAGCACAAAGCGTTGATACAATGGCTACGTTGAAGAACTCAGCTCTCCTTCCATGATCTGTGATCTAACTTTGTTACTGGATAAAACTAGGAGGACGCAATGAGGTTCTGATAAGGTAAGTGATAATGAATCATGCTCCTATCTTATCTCTATAAATAACTGTTGGGTTTCCAGTGGGTTAATGAAATTACCCCTTGATCCTTTACCATTTGAAGGAAATTAGCGGGTATTAAAATGCAGTTTGAGGTAACTGCATGCTCCTATTTATAGCTCAGAACAATATCAGATTAGCCAGTGAATCCCACCGCCTGCCCTTATCGAAATTCATTTGGTGAAATTGTATTAATAGAAAGGACCCTTGTTGTAATCAATTTTCATGATTTGATGCCCAATTTGAATTCCGATAGCTGGCTTGTCTTAAAGTGATATTGACGTAGACAGGCTACTAGTTTCAGTAAAAGATAACATTACAGCTACTGTATGTTTATCACATTAACGATACCAGGATTCATATTGGGAGATGTAATGTGTACATCAAACAGCGTCTGTTTCTAATTAGTGATTACTTAATTAGTCTGTTAGCTGTCTTCGACTGCGTTCGTTTAGCAACTAACGGCGGGTCACCAAGGGCAAGTTAGTGTCTCTGGCTGTCGAGGGTATTGCAGGTTGTGTTGATATATATGGGTCTGGTAACTGAAAGTCGACGAAGTGATTTTATCAAGTACAAACTGCCATTATGGGATCGTGTTTAGGATAGTTTAACGACAGTATGGTATCTCAAATCGATTTAGTATGATGCAAACTGTTTAAATGAACTCCAAAGCAAAAAGATCAAACAGTTATAAATGATATTTTGTCTCATATTATAGAAAAAAAACAAGTTAACGCATAACACTATCCAACATTAATGCATTTGCTTGTTTGTAATATTGTAATCGCTCTCTGGAGTCGGAGAAGTATAATGCTTTTGACATTGCCTTTTACAATGAATGTAGCTACTTATGGAACACAAAATTTGAAAAAGTGCTTTGGACATCATGGCTTATACATGAATTGCTGGTAGTTGTTCTTGCAATGCGTTATGTTAACTTTTGGAAAGCATAATTCAAGTACAGTTTGGGTGATTCACTAGCGTGGATTACAATTTTGTGTTCAGTGAAGTATGCGTTAGTTCGAAAAAATGTAAATATGATTACTTTATGTACACATGACATTGCAACATCAAATTGGAACGTTTTAAATATTTTCCTGGTGATATCTGTTTTACATTAATTAAATTGTTTTGTTTGGCAAATATGTACGAATGTATTGGCATCCATCGGAAAGTGCCGCATGCCGTAGGCCAACACGTATACTGCATGTATTATGGAAACAAATGACACAAAATAGACAGTATTTTCTAAAAAAATGTCAATCGTCTAAACATTTTATGTGTATATACTGAAATATTCTATATGAGTATTTCTTTTACTGAATGTACACTCATGTGTTACATAGCAGATTTATTGTTTGTGGTTTTAGTGAAATTAAAATAGCATTCATGTGGCATTGTTGTTAATTCGACCTGACTGAAAATCACTGAGACATGACATTACAATTTTGTTATAGTTACTTTTCTTAGCCTCTGCATCTTTTTCCGAACACACAATATGCCTGGTACATGAGTTCAAAATATATTTATTATGCTGTATTGTACTGCTTAACAGAATTAATTATAAAATACATGTGGAACATTGACATTGATTTCAACGAGCAAAGCACTGTCGAAACTTTTAAACTTTTTAAATGTGTGATTATATATGATGTACCTTGTAACCAGTCTCAGATGTCTAAGGACATATGTGAATGGAAACACAATTGAATAGTACATCATTGTTTCTTGTGTCTAAATTCGACCATAGTTATGAACACTGTTGAGTTCATTGGTCTGAAATACTTGAAAGTTCTGCGACAGAACTAGCAGAGATAATGTCAAAACGTCAACAGAACCAGACCAGTCCCCAAACCCAACGATCTGTAAACGAGTGCAGACAATTGTCGCTAGTGACATTCCATTGTAACATGCACAAATAAAGTGTAATTCAATAGAGAATAAATATTGTAGCGGTAATAGTTCTCAGCGAGATTTGAGAAACGTGTTTTCATTTCCCCTACAGCACTTGACGTGTCTGAATGCATATGCTTTGAAAATCAGGTTTGACCTCGACACCGGTGTCCATTGAGTTTGTGGCCAAGCTTACGAACAAACATCGAATACCTCTTCAGTGGTTAGTCAAGCATGTGTTTTATTGACTGGCTTGATTGTCAAGTTTTTTGCTTAGTTTTAATACCATTGTTAGATAAATCCTATCGTTTCACTCAGGTTTGGGGTTTGGTTTCCTGTGAGGTAATAGGAAGAAACAACGACCTTAAACATAGACATCTGTGCTTGGTTACACATACCAAGTTGTTCTAAACATAAGCTCATAAACAAACAAAGAGACTGTGCAAATATGGCTTTGGTGTTGTATAATCCACTATAAATGAAAAGAATGAAAACTGTATTCATCGCCGATCATTGCCAAGTTGATAGTTTAAGTATGGTGGTATGTGCTGAATATGCAATGGTAGGTCATAAATGTCTGTCATATATTTGTACTGGCTGTGATATACATATTTCCATCCTATATGTTACAGTCAAATGTCAGCCAAGACAAAGTATCGAAGTCAAAATAGCAATGACACATATGATATGAATGAATCATCTGTGAATGAGTGATGATAGGTACTCGCCAAAAGGAAAGCAAGTTCTCCACACACACACCCTCTCCCCTACCTCACTGACACAATTTGCATTAAGATTAAGTGTCTGTTGCCTGACATCGCACATCTGTACTTCCCCTATAAGAAGGCGCCTCGGGAACCATCACACTTCTGATATAGGAGCTTGCGGGAGTTAAAATACTGTGAGTTTTGAAAACATTTAGTACCTGTGCCATTTAACACATCGTACAAGTGTCTGGATACCATAAAGAATACAACAAAAGAGCATTGAATTCCCTGACCATATAATAGCTACACTCAGAGAATACAATGTAATTTAACGCATCTGATTCTCGAAGTTGGCAAGTTTTCTTTCCATGATGAAATGCTGCACCCTTGGGGGAATTCTCTTCAGACATTTATTTCCCTAAAATCAGTCCCATTTTCCGCATATTTAGAAGTGTAACCATCCTCACGCAAGTCTGACAGATGCACTGCTCCCTGTAGTTTGCTGTTGAGCTAATTTGCTTCGTACACAGCCACCTTAAGCTTCAGGCTACATAGCGAAGGGAATACGTTTTCATTACAATTTCCTTCATTCAACTCAACACTTAAAGAACCCGAACATTCATCAGAAAGGCTACTTCTGGATTTGGGGATATAATCACAAGTATGGGTGGTTTTTGTGTAATGTTGATGTCATTGGTTACCGATAAGCTTGACTCCCCCTGAACATTTTTAAAGGCTTCCATTGTAAGCATACATGACATATTGATCATTACTTGTCTGCGGTAATGTGATATCAGTGTAATGGGGCGGCACTGATGCGTCAGCTGAGAAAACCATGGTGTGAGCACATCGTGGTTAATGTAATTCAGCTCTAACAACACCATTTGCACATCATGGCCATTCTTCAATACTTACTTAACCATCTCAGAGGCCATGGCGAGATGGTCTATTCAACGTGCCTTACAATAACTCACACACGCGTCTAAACAAAACATTCGCATTGGAAAGGCATCGAGAGTGCTTAATGAAATAATTTAAGCACAAATGGATCATGTTCTCGCAGCCCGAACCGTGTACACCTCTGGGTTATAAACAAGCAGTGACTCCATCGTTCCATCGACCAGACATCAGAGACGTGTTTAATATGTAAACATTAACTTTTTGTATCGTATGTATATGTTCCGTCCACTCAGACGTGTTCATTAGACATCAATTTGGACAAAAGTGTTTCATCTAAACTTTCATCAACGTTCGTCTCTTTGACATTATAAGTTCACTTTAAGATATTACGAACGAACGGCTGCATTCCACGTCGCTCATATTAATAATAAAGAAGTTGTATACCGAATGGAACCTGGTAAGTCCCTTACGATCAACAATCCCAGACAAACACAAGTCCGTAACCGAGTCTCAATCACGAAACTGTCGGGTTGGGGAACAGGTGTGCACGTTTGTGTATGTTTGTGGGAGAGCAGGGATAGGTGCAGCAATAATGACCAATTGTTATACTAAAATTCCATTTTAATTCCCAACTACTTGGCTGATACTTGAATATTCCATAGGTAAACCTTACATTGGGTAACCTCAAATACGCCCCTGTACACAAACACATACACGCATGGACGCACGCACACATACATCTCATGGGCGGATCCAGGAGTTTTGAAAGAGGGGGGGTTTCAAGGGGTTCGAGCCCCCTGAAACCCCCACTGGCTCCGCCAACGCAAAAAGAATCTTCAATGTGGTCTTAAGTCATTTTCAAAGGGGGGGTCGAACCCACCACCCCACCCCCTCAGGATTTGCCAATGCATCTAAATCACCAAACAAAATTGGCCCGTGGTCTTGTGGACAGCGTACAGGTCACACGTCAAGCGAAGCTAACCAACGTTGGTCTATTTAACGGGTGGCCGTATTCGACAGTGTAACTCCAAGGGTTTCCACGGCCTCGGGGCTGCCCTACAGTGAAGCACATGTGACAATTTAATGTAGTGTAGACTGGAAACTCTGTTACACATATGCATCTCATCACGCGGTTAATGGGTATCCGTTAGGATGAGATGGTCATGTGACTGTTACACCTCAAGTCACACAGGCAGTGTTGCTATTTTTCTTCCCAGGGTGTTGTAGTAAATGAAAACACTTCTCTATTAATATATGTAGTTGGAAAATTATTTAGGGTGTGAATTTGGCATATTATAAAATGCAAATTATTGAATATTGATTTTAAGTTTTAGCGATATTACTCGTTTGAGTTATCTAAACACATACATGAGGATTTGTGTGTCTTTCAACACATTGCGCGACAGTTATCCGCTTTTTATCGTAGTGTCATTTCCTTTAACAACAATGCATTTATTGAATACC